TCTGAATACTTTCCGTACCCACTGTATATATATATATATATATATATATATATATAAAAGAGTTATTGTTCAGAGATGTTTAAAAGCTCAGTGTGTTAGGGAATGTTGGGATTTCTATGACTTGTTTTGATGACTTTATGGTGTCCAACACAGCTCATTTCCATCATATCATTGAACAGCTTTGCTTTGAATAAGACACTGTAATTGAGATCCTAATTTGTCAGTGTTGTCTAGCTTGCATTTCACCTAAGATTTCAATATCTTAATTACCCAGGTCATCTCTCCTATCAGCTGGGTGTTCAGCTCTTCGTCATCCTCCTCTTCCCCTTCACAGATCCTGCTTTTTATGGCATGACCCCCATCTGCAGTCTACTGTTTACACCTCTCTCTGCCTGCACATGACACGCTCTTCACGCTACCTGGATTGAAATGTACCTCAAAGTCTTTAAAAAACCTAACTGGGGAAAGAGCATTAAAAAGAGGGTAAATGAAGCATGTTGCTTTCATGCAAAAGACTCAACATATCCCACACATTCATCAGCCTAGATGATGCGTAAATGACTGTCATGTTTAATTTCTTTGCCTTTTTCTGGTAAGAGTTTTCAAACTGGCCTGTGGCTCAGTGGCTCATTCAAATGTTTTATTTTTTTCATTATGCCCATATTTCTCTTTCATTCAGTTAAAGTTGTCAGCTGTCATGTTGTTAAATTAAAACCAGATGCTGATGTGTATAGCAGGTCAGATGCTATTCCGACATTCAGTACTAATATCAGACGAGCAGCATTCTCTGCCTTGTATTCGAAAATGAAGGATTTTTGGATAGCATTATATTTAGACTCTTTTATTGAACAGTATTGTTCTGAAATGTTATGAAATTAATACTTTTATTCAGCAAAGATGCAATAAATTGATCAAATGTTACAATTATAATGTTACAACAGATTATTATGCTGTTCTTTTTAATTTTCTATTCATCAAAGAATTCTGAAAAAATGAAGCATTTTTACATATTTAAAAAATATTAAGCAGCACAACTGTTTTCAACATTGATAATAGACAGTTATTTTAGAGTTATTTTTATACTATTGTAGCATATATTAATATTTAGAATTAGATTTTATTTTCTATTTTATAGCTTTATTTTTTATTTCAATCTTCTTAAAATCAGTTAGTTACCAAGGCAACATTTTATTTCAGCTTTTTCAGTTAGCAAAAATTATTTTTAACAGTTTATATTAAAAGAGAAATATTATTTTAATTGTGATATTTCACAATATTGCCGTTTTACTGTATTTTTGATCATGTGAATGCAGCCCAATATAATGGATAAAACATCAATGTTGTCACGAGTACACTTTATATGGTTTGCTGTCTCTGTTTCTATTTGCATAGTTCAGTTATGGTGATGAGAACCAGTTAAATGGAGAACATATCCATAGAGACTAACAGATAACAGATACAAAGAGCTGGAACTCCCGGTACATTGCTCTCCAGTGAACACTCCTCATTTATGTGCTAGCCTTTCAAAATAACCTTGGAGTTTGTACCTATGGGAAGTAATTATCAATGAAACATTGTACCCTTTAAGACCCATTAAACCAATCTCTCTCTCTCTCTCTCTCTCTCTCTCGCTCTCTCTCTCTATCTTTGTGGATGTTAAATTGAGAGCCCAAGAGGACTTTTTCATGATGTCAAAGCAGGCTTGAGTTAGTATGAACAATTAATATGTATTTTCGTAATACAAGCATATTAGAATGATTTATGAAGGATCATGTGACACTGAGGACTGGAGTTCATGATTATTAGCTTTGCCATCACATGAATACATTTAAAAATATATTCTTTTACTGTCTTTTTGATCAAATAATTAGACTTGGTGAGCGTGAGATATTTCCTCATTTCTTTATATAAAAAATTATATATATATAAAAATGTTATAATAGAGCTGGAACTCCCGGTACATTGCTCTCCAGTGAACACTCCTCATTTATGTGCTAGCCTTTCAAAATAACCTTGGAGTTTGTACCTATGGGAAGTAATTATCAATGTGCATCTTCCAGCTAACAGGCAGTTCTATTTGGCTCTATCTCCTCGTTTGATAGTG